CTCCCAGATTTAATGCATTGGTCCCAATCTAAATGCACTGCTCCCAGTGTACGCGCAACCCTGCCGGTGTGAATGCATTCGTGTTAATGCACTACTCCCTGAGCGAATGCACTGCTCCCGATGAAAATGCGCCACACCCCGGGTTAAGTGCACCAATTCCGGTGTGCATCAGACCCCATTTCCGACCAAGCGCACTCCCTTCAGGGTTAAATGCCACCGGGTCCTGCATTGCAACTTCGCCGGGTTGCCTGCGTTGCAACTCGATTTCCTGCACCGGTTGCAAATGAAATGCACCGACTGCAAGTTAGATGCACCGATTCCAGATTAGTTGCACCGATTCCGGGTTAAATGCACCGATTGCAAGTTAAATGCACCGATTGCAAGTTAAATGCACACTTACCGGTTGCCCTGCGCCGTCTCCGGCCTCCTCTCCCTGCTCCAGGCCTGGTCGTGGGTACAATGGCCGCCGCCCGGACAAAGGGCTCCGGGTCCGAGTACAGCACTTTCAGCACCGCGGGGAATTCTGGGAGGACCGGACAGCCATTACTTCCGCTGTAGCAACAGGAAATGACAGGAGCAAGGGACGGGGGAATGGGTGGAGGAAGAGGGTGGGCAGATGGAGGGAGGGGCAGAGAGGAAGAAGAGAAGGTGGAACGTCCGCGGGGAGGGAGATAAGGAGGGACGGAGAGGGGGAGGGAATGAGAGGGTAAGGTGGGACTGGGGGCGATAATGAGAGAGGGAAGGAGGGAGTGGGGAAGATGATGAAGGAGGGAGTGTGTGAGATAATGAGGGAGGGACAGAGGGAGATAGTGAGGGAGGAAGTGTGTGAGATATTGAGGGAGGGAGTGTGTGAGATATTGAGGGAGGGAGTGGGGGAGATGATGAAGGAGGGAGTGTGTGAAATGATGAGGAAGGGAGGAGTAAATAATAAAAGGGTAAATAATGAGGGGGTAAATAAAGAGTGGGAGATAAAAAGGGAGTGGGGGAGGGAGTGAAGGAAGGAGCGAGTGAGATAATAAGGGAGGGAGCAAGGGAGATAACGAGAGAGGGAGTGTGTGAGATAATGAGGGAGGGAGTGAGGGAAATAATGAAGGGGAGATATTGATGGAGGGAGCTGGGAGATAATGAGGGAGAGTGCGAGTGGGATAACGAGGGAAGGAATGGGGGAGATATTCAGAGAAGGAGTGTGTGAAAGAGTGGGGGAGATAATGAAAGAAGGAATGGGGAGATAATGAGGGAGGGAGTGTGTGCAGTAGTGGGGAGGGAGATAATGAGGGAAGGAGTGGGAATTAGGGGGAGGATGAGGGAGGGGGGAAGTGAGTGAAATAACTGCACAGAGGCCAGTATCCCATCACCAAGTCACCTTTTATTTACTCGCGAACAGACCAGCCAACTCAAAGCCAGTGTCTGGGGTCCTACTCATGTCTGACAGCCAGGATTCCCTGCTCGGGGCTGGTATTGTGGGCCAATCAGGGAACTCATATTCAGTGGATCCACTTGGCCGACCTCTATCCAGTCACTAAATCCCTCCCTTCCTGGGTCTGAGGATGTCGGCATGTTCTTGTAGCTTCTCCTGGAATGTTTTTCACCCCAGGTTTCGTTCCTCCGACTCTGTCGGCGTGTACCAGACCAGAGAACATCGGAAAATACTCCTCCTCTTCCCCAGTTGGTAACCGTAGTGAGGCTGCGACATCTGCTGTATCCATCTCAGACTCTGAGGTTTCTTCGATGCTATGGGGGAGAAGCCATGGTTTCTGATCGGCTGTTCTGAGGGGGCCAGGGTTGACCCATTTGCGAGGTATCAGCTCTCAGGTGATCCACACGCTTGCTCAGCACCGCCTGAGCTACCTAAACTTTGAACTTGACCTTGCAATCGACCTTGCCTCCTACCCGTGCAGAGCCATTTCTGTTGTTTCGGCAGCAAACTTTGTCCCTTGAGATAAACGGTTTCTCTCGCTTAGAGGAGTCGTGTGGCACGCATTGGCATTCCTGATGCCATTTCCCACCCTCAGCACCCCTAGGCCCGGGTCAGGGTCTCTCCCCATTGGCAACTCTGCTGGATCTATCCATGTAATCATCGAACAGGAGCCTGGACAGTTTGGTATCGAGTGAAGCTCGTCGGCTGTTTCTTTAAGCCTGCTTTCAAATTTTGGACTGCTCTTCCAGCCAGGCCACCAGAAGATGGATAGTGTGTGGAGCTGCCTGATGTGCCATTCAACATTAGGAAACACTCAAACATCCTGGCTGTTAAAGACGTCCCATTGTCCGTGACCAATATTTCCAGGAGCCCGCGTATTGCAAAAGATGTGCGCAGCTTTTCGCTCGCTGCCCCGAGTTTAACGAATAAACTCTGTGCACGGCCGACCCATTTGACTTAAAACGTAGATCGGGTGAAAGGGCCGGCCTAGTGTAACGGAGCGCAGGGTTTACCTGCCTGTTCCCAGGAAAGTTGGGGGTGGTGGGGGTCGCTTCTGGCGATAATTTCTGTCCTGGTTTTGTTTTTTCTTTATTCGTTCACGGGATGAGGGCGTCACTGGCCAGGCATCTTTTATTGCCCATCCCTAATTGCCCAGAGGGCAGTTAAGAGTCAACCGCATTGCTGTGGGTCTGGAGTCACGTGTAGGCCAGACCAGGTAAAGTTGGCAATTTCCTTCCCTAAAGGACATGAGTGAACCAGATGGGTTTCCCCCAACAATGGATTCACGGTCATCATTAGACTCTTAATTCCAGATATTTTATTGAATTCAAATTCCACCATCTGCGGTGGCGGGATTCGAACCCGGGTGCCCAGGACATTATCTGGGTCTCTGGATTAACAGTCCAGCGATAACACCACGAGGCCATCGCCACCCCTAGTTGGCACTCTGGGCGCTGCCCCACCGACGCGGCTACGTCTTCCATTCCCAGGCTGGCAGCCGGGGATAACTTTGCACCAACATCTTCCATTTGGAAACCCCCTGGTGGTGTTCAGCCAGTATCGGGTGGCGAGGGGGGTGAGGGGCTTCGCTCGGGACGGTCACCCTCGGTCCCCGTAACAACATGCCATCCCCTGGCGGTGACGTGGTCTCACCGGGTGCAGAAAGGTTTGCGACGGCCCTCCCGTTCCCCACCGCCCACCCCCACCAACTGTTTCGGTTTCCCCAGGACAGGGTCTTTCTAATGTGACCTGGCCTCCAACCTGGCACATTTCGGGGTGGGGTGACCCTTGCTCAGTGGTGTCCGGGAGGGGTGTCCCGAAAGCTTAAAAGCGGAGCGGGCTTTTCCAGTGGCAGAACCACCAGTGGTGTATCTGCCAGCAGGAGGCGACGCAAGGCGCGCATGTTTGGATGATGTTCCCATTGCATGCCCTGAGTGTTAGAGCTCTCCACTGAACTTGACCTGAAGCTTTCTCACACCAAAGATAACCGCCAAACCTTCCTTCTCTCTCCAGGCATATTCGCCTCCAGCATCAGACAAAGCTTGGGAAACGTACGCTACTGGGGGCGCATTCCTCTCCATTGGCTCACCGGTGAGCCAATGCTACCCCTGATCCCGTACGGGGAGGTATCGCATCTCGCTCGGGGCCAACGCTTCAGATGACGATAGCTGGGTTTTTTGTTTCATTTCCCTACAGGCTACGCGACCAATGCTGAGGGAGGGTCGCAAAATGTGCCAGGCTGGAGGCCAGGTCACATAATAAACTTTCCGTAATATTTCACCTATCCGAGAAAAGACCTGAGCCCTGGTTCGGATGTGGGAGTCGGGGCACCTTTGATTGTCTCTTCCAATTGCTTTTGTCGAGTCTGTGACCCAAGTTGGTTGCTTGCGGGGGAGGCCTGGAGGACACATTGTTCCCTTTCTAAGGCATACGCCCACCAGGGAGAAACAGATTCCCCAAAGTGCTCTTTATCGGTCTTCCCCGTTATTAGCTCGACATCCAGATAAACGGCAACTTCGAGCAGACCTTGCAAAGGCTGATGATAGAACATAGAACAGTACAGCACAGTACAGGCCCTTCGCCGAACTTTTACCCTAAACCTAAGGTCTATCTAACCTCCACCCCTACCTTATACTATCATCCAGATGCCTATCTAATAGCTGCTTAAATGCCCCTAATGAGGCCGACTCCACTACCCTCTCCCAGCAATGCATTCCATGCCCCGACCACTCTCTGAGTAAAGAACCTACCTCTGACGTCTCCCCGATATCTACCTCCACTCACTTTAAAACTACACCCCCTCGTAATAGCTACCTCAACCCTAGGAAAAAGTCTCTGGCTGTCTATTCTATCTATACCTCTGATCATTTTGTACACCTCTATCAAGTCACCTCTCATCCTTCGTCGTTCGAAAGAGAAAAGCCCTAGCTCTCTCAACCTTTCCTCGTGAGACCTTCCCTCCATTCCAGGCAACGTCCTGGTAAATCTCCTCTGCACCTTTTCTAACGCTTCCACATCTTTCCTGTAATGAGGCGACCAGAACTGGACACAATACTCCAGATGTGGCCGAGCCAGGGCTTTTGTATAGCTGGAGCATAACTTCACGGCTCTTGAACTCGATCCCTCTATTAATTAAAGCTAACACACCATACGCCTTCTTAACAACTCTGTCCGCCTGGGTGGCAGCTTTCAGGGAACTGTGGACATGAACCCCGAGATCCCTCTGCTCCTCCACACTCCCAAGAATCTTTCCAAGAATCTTTACCCCAAATGCTAGTTTATTGATATAAACCGTGACGGGTATTCATTTTTTTGTTTATTCATTCACAGGCTGAGGGTGTTGCTGGCCAGGCCTGGCATTTATTGCCCATCCCTAATTGCCCCAAGAGGGGCAGTTAGGATTCAATCACGTTGCTGTGGGTCTGGAGTCACGTGTAGGCCAGACCGGGTAAGGATGGTAGCTTCCTTCCCAAAAGGGGCATGAGTGAACCAGATGGGTCTCTTTATTCCCCCCAACATTGGATTCACAGTCAACTCTTAATTCCAGATATTTTCACCGGAATCGAAGTTCTGCCGTGGCAGGACTCGAAACCCCGGCTCCCCAGAACGTTACCTGGATTAACAGCCCAGCGATAACACCACCAGGCCTTCCCCAGGGTGTTGGGCCAATCTAGGTGGATCTTTTTCAACCCGTTTCAGCCCACCAAGTCTGAAAAGAGCCTTTTACTGCAATCAGTGGGTAACTGAACCAGTTGGTACCCTTAATCTCTAGGGGGTTCCCTGGTATAGCTTCTAGCTAAGACCTTGTGCAAATTTAAGAGCTAGAGTCCACAGCGATCACCGATAGTACATTATACTATCATCGACTTTCCTATCCAAGCGTCGCTTAAAAGCCTCTCTGACTCCACTACCACTGCTGGCAGCGCATTCCACGCACCCACCACTCTCTGTGTGAAGAACCTACCTCTGACGTCTCCCCTACACCTATCGCCTTAAAATTATGCCCCCTCGTAATCGTCATTTCCGCCCTGGGAAAAAGTCTCTGGCTATCCATTCTATCTATGCCTCTCATCATCTTGTACACCTCTATCAAGTCACCTCTCGCTCCAATGAAAGAAAGAGCCCTAGCTCC